CAAGAAACAATTCAAAAAGCACAATTTTTGAAAGCTGAAATAGAGACAATTAAAAAAATACAGTCTGAAGGAATGCTGGAAATAGAAAAGCTGGGCAAACGGTCAGGTACTACAGATACAAGCATAACCAACAGAATACAAGAGATGGAAGACAGGTTGGGTAATGGGGGCTCACGCCTTTAATCTCAGGACTCGGGAGGCAGAGACGGGTGGATCTCTGTAAGTTTGATGCCAGTGTGGTCTACAGAGTGAGTTGCAGGACTGTCTCCAAAATAATACCGAGAAACCCTGTTTCAGAAAACCAAAAGAGAGAGAGAGAGAGAGAGAGAGAGAGAGAGAGAGAGAGAGAGAGGTGGAAGACAGAATCTAGAAGATATACTAGGGGAAATAGATTCATTTACCAAAGAAAATCTTTTTTTTTAATTATGAAGCTGTTGGCCTTGCTTGTTTCTTACTGGCTAGCTCTGACTTAAGTAATTACCCCATAATTGCTAATTTAAGTATTTCCCTTACTGGAGAGGTTTCCCGGCTTCCTACTCCATGGTGTTACATCTTGACTCTCTGTGTTTCTCCTTTCCAGAGTCCTCCTGGACTGCTAGTCCCACCTATCTTGGTTCCTATTGGCAAACAGTGCTTTATTGACATATATACAGGACTTCCCCAACATCTCCTCTTTTCTGTCTAAACAAAAAGAAAGGTCTTAACTCTAACGTAGTACAATTATATATAAAAGAACAGTTATCAAGTAAGAACATAGTTACAGTATTTTGTCTATCAACATTTAGCAAGATTTAAAGAAAATGTCATCTATCCCATCCTTGTGAGTCCAAAGTTCTATATGTAGCTTATCTTTTATCATAACTAAGGCAAACTATAATTATAACTGTCTTCAACTCCATCAAAGGCAACAGAAGGATAATATATAAACACTAGAATTGACAGAGACATCTTACTGCCTGGACAGTCACCCAAAGTTCCTCTGTAACGTTGGGGCATCCATCTTTAGCCCATAGGCCACAGTGTGTATGGAAGACTTCTCAGCAAAGCAGGAAATTTCAGACTGTCCATCTGCATCAGCAGTCTGTCAGTCATTTTTCTTTGTCCTGTAGAAAGTCTCTTAGACTCTTCCATGAATCAAGAACCCTGAAGGACAGTTTGAGTTCAGTAGTCACTTTCCTGTGGGTCCTGCATGTCCAGTTTATACAGCAACAGTCAAGCAGTCTAGGCAAGAGCAGTTTCTTGCCCAAATGGCTAATCTTGCCATGCTGAAAGCAAACTCTCTTCAATGTCCATCTCCCACTCAGACATAATTGGGCTGCCAGGAGCAGACATTTCTCATTGTCAAGAAAAACCCTAAACCATTTTAAATGCCATTTTCTGAAGGTCTTTGAAAGGTTTCAAGACTATCTATCTATCTATCTATCTCAAATATATCTCTGTATATCTAGAAAACCAAACTAACCTAAATATAAGTTCTGACTATTATAAGTAACTATCTATAGTCTGTATTTAATTATGCATCATGTTTTAAAAGATCAGTATAAGCACAATACTTAATCAAGAGGATAAATATACACATCACAAAGTTGACCTTGAATTTGTATCAATAAATGAAAAACCATACCCATACCATAATTCTTCTTTTTACCATTATAAAGAGATTGGCTGGGATCATTAGCCAATTATAAACAACATTAAAAAGAGATTGGCTGTGATCACTAGCCAATTATAAACAAACCCATTTAAATGAAAACACAGATTTATAAACAAGATGGGAATTAGGACGTCACTCATTCCAAACTGCTTTGTGCTGTAAGGGGGCGCTGTTTATACCATGGGGATCATGACCAAACTCAGAAACCTGTATAAGTCCGTATTTTCGGGGTCTGTAAGACTGCATTGTATTAGCTGTTTCAGTTGTTGGAACACCTGGTCCACTGCTTCCGGGTGTCTTGGTTCATCAAACGACAGAAGCCTGGAAGGAATCCTCAGCTTTTCATTTTCTGTAGAAACATAAACAAAACCTCTTTTCCCAAGTAACATATCCTTATATGGAGAGGTTTCCAGGGTTCCTACCCCATGGCGTTACATCTTGTCTTACTGTGATCAAAGAAAATCTGAAGTTCAACAAATCCCTAACACAAAATATCCAGGAAATATGGGACACCATGAAAAGACCAAAACTAAGAATAATAGGTATAGAAGAAGGTGAAGAAATCCACCTTAAAGGGGGAGAAAACAGAGCTGTTCTGGCGGGATCAGGTACAACAGGTCCTGCTACTGGGCCTGTGTTCCAGTGCCTGGGGATCACCTGGGAGCTGCACAGAGCTTCCAATCCCAGTGGGAGCCAAACACCCCAGACTCCAGGACTTCTCTCCCACCAACGAGACCAGGAAAATTGCTGATCCAGGGAGACCAGGGGACTAGCTGTTCCTGAGGGTCCAGGAACCAGAGGATCCAGGGAGACCAGGGGTAACAGCTGTTCTGGCAGGATCAGGTATAACAGGCCCTGCTTCTGGGCCTGTGTTCCAGTGCCTGGGGTTTGCCTGGGAACTGCACAGAGCTTCCAATCCCAGTGGGAGCCAAGCTCCCCAGACACCAGGACTTCTCTCCCAACAACGAGACCAGGAAAGCAGAGGAGCCAGGGAGACCAGGGGAGCAGCTGTTCAGGCGGCAGCAGGATCAGGTAAAACAGGATCCAGCAAAGGGTCTAGGGGACCAGGTGGGAGGCTAAGCGCCCCAGATTCCTGTTCTTCTTCTCCACCAATGGGACCAGAACGAGGACAAGGAATACAAGAACTACCAGATTATTGGACTTGCTAGCACCCATCAAAAGGGAATTCTGGTCCCCTAACCACCAGACCAGTAAGGGGCTCTTTCTGCACCCACTAGAAGAAGAGATGGGAAAGAGACAATACAAAAACACACTCAGCAACAGAAAAACAAATATGACACCACCAGATTCTAGAGACTCCACACCAGCAAGACTACAACGTTCCAATGCAAACCAAGAAGAAGAGAATGACCTTAAAACCACTTTCATGAAAATGATAGAGGCTCTAAAAGAGGATATAGGAAAATCCTTCAAAGAAATGGAAGAAAAAACAATCCAAAAATGCAAGAAATGGAAGAAAAAACAAAGCAAAAAATGCAAGAAATGGAAGAAAAAACAAACCAAAAAAGGCAGGAAATTGAAGAAAAAAACAAACCAAAAAAGCAGGAAATGGAAGAAGAAACAAAACAAAAAATGCAAGAAATGGAAGACAAAACAAAGCAAAAAATGAAAGAAATGGAAGAAGAAACAAACCAAAAAAGGCAGGAAATGGAAGAAGAAACAAAGCAAAAAAGGCAAGAAATGAAAGAAAAAGCAAACCAAAAAAATGCAAGAAATGGAAGAAAGAACAAACCAAAAAATTAATAAAAGGGAACAAATGGATGAAAAGATAAACCAAAAATTGCAAGAAACAATGCATACACTGCAAGAGTTGAAAACTGAAATAGAGACAATAAAAAACAAAATCTGAAGAAAGGCAGGAAATAGAAAAGCTGGGCAAATGATCAGGTACTACCGATATAAGCATTACCAACAGAATAGAAGAGATGGAAGAGAGAATCTCAAGTGTTGATGATACAATAGGAGAATTAGATTCATCAACCAAAGAAAACCTTAATTCCAACAAATCCTTATTACAAAACATTCAGGAAATATGGGGCACCATGAAAAGACCAAACCTAAGAATAATAGGTATAGAAGAAGGAGAAGAAAACCACCTCAAAGGGGCAGAAAACATATTCAACAAAATCATAGAAGAAAACTTTCCCAACCTTAAGAAAGACATGCCAATGAAGGTACAAGAAGCTTACAGAACACCAAATAGAGTGGACCACAAAAAAAGTCCCCTCGCCACATAATAATCAAGACCCCAAATATACAGAATAAAGAAAGAATATTAAGAGCAGCTAAGGAAAAAGACCAAGTAACATATAAAGGCAGACCTATCAGAATTACACTTGACTTCTCCATGGAAACTCTGAAAGCCAGAAGGTCCTGGATAGATATTCTACCAACACTAAGAGACCATGGATGCCAGCCCAGACTACTATACATGGCAAAGCTCTCAATCACTATAGATGGAGAAAACAAGATATTCCATGACAAAACTAGATTCAAGCAATATGTATCCACTAACCCAGCCCTACAGAAAGTTTTGGAAGGAAAACTCCAACCCAAGGAAGTTTACTACAACCAGAAAAACATAGGCAATAGAGAATCCCTCTCTACCAACAGCCAAAAGAACAAAGGGGTGAAATTCCACACATAATTCCACCAACAACAACCATTGCAAATCAAAGAAGG